AACATACATTGTGTGAGTTCTCGCAGCAAGTTCCATCAAATAACCTAAGTTAGCATTTTTAAGTTATAGGAAGTGTCGTTCCTATAAACTTTACATGAGGTTAAAGTTATAGCAAGTTCCATCAAATAAACTTTACATGAGATTGCATTTTTTATGGGGAGGGTGCCTGCTGTTGGATGCTGTTATTATGGATGCATCTGGCTTTGCAACAAAGCTCTTGCTTGAGCATAGACCTGCCTCGTGTAGTTTGCTATACACTTCATTTGGCATGACAAGTTTTCTGGAGTCTCATTACCGAACTTAAAATTTTTGGTTCCTGGAATTACCTCGTTTCTCTGGCAGATACTGTTACGGACATATTTGAAACCCATGAATTGTCAGAGCTGCTAACAACAATGTTATAGAAGAGTTCATTTCTTCCATTTCATCTGACGAAACTCTTTCAAACAAAATCCTGAAATAAACTTTCATAATGAACTTCCCCTCGATATTTCTACTAACCCCAGATATCCCCATGAAGGGCCTGAACGTCTGGACGGACACCGTCCGGAAGCCCGTGCCTGCTGCCCGCCCACGTATGCATGCAGCTCCCGCCCGCTGCTGCTGCTGCCACGCGCTTTGCCCACCCGCCCGCACAGCTGCTGCTACGCGCTTTGCTGCTGCCGCACTTGCCAACCTAGCCCCGCTTGCTGCTGCGCATACACGTGGGGGCTGTCATGCCCGCTTTGTTTTCCACGCGCGCGCGGGGACCTCTGCGCCCGGGAGACCACCTCTGCCTGCGTTCGCTTCCCGTGCCTGCTCATGGAACACTTGAAACATGAAGTATTTTGTTGCAACATACTTCCTCCGATTCTCTAAAGCAAGTTGTTTTGAGGTTGTCTTAAGTCAAACATTTTAAACTTTGACTACAAATAACTTCTTTTGGGTTGAGTTTGAAAATATAAAAGTGATGTAAGTAGATTCATCTCGAAATGTAGTTTCATAAAAGTATATATTGACTATATTTTATAAATATTTTATAGCAAAAAGTTGTAGTCAAAGTCGTTTCTTAGAGACCGTGTCGATGTTCAAAACGACTTGCTTTAGAGAACCGGAGGGAGTACGTCTAAAACAGATAAAATATTTAGAACATATGCTTACAACACACACACACATATATATATATATATATATGTATAGGCACTGCAACATATGCAACATCCAGATAAAAACACTTGCAACATACGCTTGAAACAGCTGAAACATTTAAAACATACACTTGCAACATACGTGTATAGCCAGTGCAACATATACAATATCCAGATAAAACACTTACAACATACATTTGAAATAGTTGAAACATTTGAAATATATACTTGCAACATACGTGTATATCCATTGCAACATATGCAACACCAGATCTACTTTTCAATATCCAGATGAAACATATGCAACATATATCTGAAACGCATGAAATATACGGTTGCAACATGTGCTCATCTACTGTCTGCCGTCCAATAGAGGCTCGTGTGATGTGCTAGGGTCTATCAAGTTCGTCAATTTGTCAATGTTGGTGGTGTTTTGAAGCACTTTGCTTGCTTATTTGCATATGTGGATGATGAATATCTTGGTAGTGAACCCTTCTAAACATTAGGTCATGGCCAATGATGATTTCCTCTTCAATCGTAAGTAGTATGTAGAGGGTCCAAGATGATGCCATTGGGTGGCGCACCTTGTCGGTGTCGCAACTATGGCTATGGTTTATGTGATGTTTTGATTTGTTACAACGCCTAGGGACTTCATTTCTTATATGATTTTGACCTTTGGCTACATTTTCCTCTTTAGATATGGATCCTGCTATTTATCACCGCCAAGTGTCACACTTGTGGTATTAGTGACTCATTGGTTGTATGTTTAGCCATCGTGCTTTGAGTAGGCCTAGCATTACCTATCACTCCCTTAATGCAAGATTTGACCTTCGAGTACTAGTACTTGATCAATGGCTTGAAGTAACTTGTTATTGATAGGTAGCACGTGACTTAGTTCATGTTTTGACCTATCACTACCTATAAGTCACATGAACTAAGCAAATCAAAAGGTCCAGATGCATAGTGAGGTGCTCACTCTGTCCATCAATGTAAGGCATACTTAATACAAGGAGAAAGCCTTCAAAAGTAGATTTTGATATTCGATTTCTCGAACAATATACATTGTCACTTCCAACAAATCAACATCATCTTAAACTTATTTTGAGTACAAGTCTAATCATATAGCTTGTATACAATAAATATGTATATACCTTGACTAATTGGATTGATAAAGTTTGAGATGGGGTGAGTATATACCTTGTACTAAGGCCCTGTTTGGTTGGGCTGTTGGCTGTGGCTTTTGCCTCCAAAAGTCCAAAGCTGAACCAAAGAGCCCAAAAGCCAAAGGTGCTTTTGTCCAAAAGCAGCTTTTGCCGTAGTACAAATCCAAAAGCATATTTCCCCTTACTTTCATTGGCTTTTGGGCAAAAAATTACCCACCTACCACTGGTTATGAAAGGTAATGGTTTGTTTTTTCCTTCATGACTTTACATCCCTTCCGCATCTTCCTGTCCCACATCTGGGGGGCGGTGCTCCTCCCTCTCCGGCTCCGGCGACCCTTTCCTCTCTGGCGGCGCGAGCCATCCCCGGCGGCGACGGACCCTCCCTCTCCGGCGAGTAGCCCCTCCCTCTCCCTCTCCTACCAGTCCAATCGCGCGGACGCGACCCATCCTCGACGGCAGTGGCCCCTCCCTCTCCTTCTCCGACCGGTCCAGTCATTCAGATGCGAGTCATCCCCGGCAGCGGCGGCCCCTCCCTCTCCTATGAGCAGCCCCTCCCTCTGCCTCTCCGACCGGTCCAGTCGCGCGGACACGACCCATCCCCGGTGGAGTGAGCCATCCCGGTGGTGGCGCTCCCTCCTTCTCCGGCGAGCAGCCCCTCCCTCTCCCTCTCCGTCTGGTCCAGTCGCGTGGACGCGACCCATCCCTGGCGGCGCGAGCCATCCCTAGCAGCGCGCAGCTCATCCCCGGCGGTGCGGGCCCTGCCCAACGGCGCGTGGGCCATCCCGACGGCGCGCGCAGCCTCTGCCCTATCCCGTCGGCCAGTATTTCGAGAGGAAGAGAACCTTGCGATGCGAGAGGAAGAAGAACATGCTATGAGGATGACATGCAGGTCCGCTTTGTAAGTGCTAGCAGTTTCTACAGAAGCCAACCAAAGGGCTTTTGGCTTTTGTCACCGCCCACATCCCACAACACCTTTTCCAAAAGCCACAACCCATAACAGATTTTTCAAAAGCCACAACTCAACCAAACAAGGCCTAAGTCACTACCAATAAGTCACTAACATGAACTAAGTCACTACCTTGTATATACCTTGTATACATTAGTTAGGTAACATGATTAATGGTGATTGGTTGATAAATAGAAAGTATTTAATGTAAAATTGGTTTTTGTCCTCTAGAATGCATTATATTTGAGGACAAAATTTGAATGCTAGAATGCACTATATTACAGGACGGAGGGAGTAGTGAGGTGATCACTCTGTGCATCAATGTAAGGCATACTTAATACAAGGAGAAAACCTTCAAAAGTAGATTTTGATATTCGATTTCTCGGACAATATACATTGTCACTTGCAACAAATCAACATCATCTTAAACTTATTTCGAGTACAAGTCTAATCATATAGCTTGTATACAATAAATATGTATATACCTTGACTAATTGGATTGATAAAGTTTGAGATTTCAAATAAAAATGCACCTTCCACTAAAATTATTCCAGTCACAAAAAGTTTTAGAACTCAGTTGCATCTCCCTTTCTTCTTGGAAGTGATTATTACAATGTGTTGGGCGATCTGGTCAATGCGACGATGCAATCTTTAACAACTTGCCTCATACGGTGCAACGCTGCAGAATAGTATTCAGGAAGGAGTTTGCTCTACGAGCAAAAGCAAAGTTTCATCCACACATTGAGTCATGGCTAGAAGCCTTTGTGTAATCTTGTTTATTTTTTCTACAATTTCTTTGTCTCTTAAACAGTTGTACCTCCAATTGTTACTTTTCGTTTTAATAAAATTTCAGTAGGGGCTCACACCCCTCCTGTTCCATAAAAAAAAACTGAGTAAGAATATTAATTTGTTTAAATATGGTAGAGGCATGTCATGTACTCCGGTGTGCTTTATTTAGAGATGGGACAAAGATAAAATGGGATATCCTTCCTCGTATATCTATTTTTAGAGGGGTAGTAAACAGACTGCCGTTGAGTTAAAGAAGCAAAGAAAAGAGAGAATCGACAGCTCTTGTGGAATATTAGGTGTGGTTGTTTCCATTCATCTTTGCATGATGTGACAGCATGTGAGAAATTGCAGGATGATTATCCCGACCTTCGTGTCACAGCCGCCGAGTGGATCGTATAAGTTTCCAAAAATAAACGCAGTTTCAGTAGAAATTTTTTTGAGAGTGAATGATAAATAGCACCTATATATAGACGGAAGGCACGGCAAACAAACGAAGTTTGCTTCTAAATAAAGGCACATTTGTTGCCTCCTCTTTGGCTGTCCGGAGAGAAGGAGGAGGAGAAGGAGGCCGTACCAAATCTATCTGGTTAGATCAGTAGCCTGGTTGATAGTATCGATGTATCTTTCTTGAGTTCCTTTTCGTTCTTTTCCGATGATTCCTGGTGTATTAGTTCCATCTTACCAATTAGATGTTGAATCAGATGAATCCAGATTCGTATTCAATTTTATCATGCTATATGGCTTCTTGTTAATTGTAAATAAAAAAACATGCATGCTCGCTTTCTCAATCCTATATTGATTTTGTCTTGGTGCATAATAACACCATTTGTTTTGATGTATGAATTATATGGGCATTGAGCGATGTAGAGGTGTTCATCGGATTAAGGAATGTTTGCATTAGAATTATTAGATGAATTTATGAGTAATTAGCTATTTTTGTATTGACCAAGTAATAGGGAGCGGCCGGACGACAAAATGCCACGCGGCGGCAAGCCCGCGGCTTCGTCGAAGCCGAACCCCTTCGACTCCGACTCGGACTCCGAGTCTAACAATAAGCCGGCGGCGAAGAAATCCGGTGCGTACCAGGCCCCCGCCGACGCCAAGAAGCGGTACAAGGACGGGTTCCGCGACTCGGGCGGGCTGGAGAACCAGTCGGTGCAGGAGCTGGAGCACTACGCCGCGTACAAGGCCGAGGAGACCACCGACGCGCTCGCCGGCTGCCTGCGCATCGCCGAGGACATCAAGCAGGACGCGTCCGACACGCTCATCACGCTGCACAAGCAGGGGGAGCAGATCAGCCGGACGCACGAGAAGGCCGTCGAGATCGACCAGGACCTCACCAAGAGCGAGTCGCTTCTCGGCAGCCTTGGAGGGTTCTTCTCCAAGCCATGGAAGCCCAAGAAAACGAGGCAGATCAAGGGACCGGCACAGGTGTCACGAGGTACGTACCCTTCCTACGACGACGATCGTGTCCTATCTACAGCTACAGACACTGAAACTGAAACAAACTGGATAATGAAATGAAACAGATGACTCCTTCAAGAAGAAGGCCAGCCGCATGGAGCAGAGGGACAAGCTCGGGCTGAGCCCGCGGGGGAAGCGCGACCCTCGCCACTACGCCGAGGCCACCGATGCCATGGACAAAGTCCAGGTTCGTGGCTGCATGCTCTGCTCGCTGGTACCAAGACGAAATCGATTGCGACCCGGCAGCTACTAAGCCGGCCATGTTAATTTGAGTATCTTGCAGATTGAGAAGAAGAAGCAGGACGACGCCCTCGATGACCTCAGCGGCGTGCTGGGCCAGCTCAAGGGCATGGCCGTCGACATGGGCTCCGAGCTTGACAGGTGAGCTCGTCGCCTCCTCCTTGATGGAGTTGCTGAACCAGATCGAGTAGCTCAATATTCTCGATTGGATCTTGGATGGCAATGCTACTGCTAGTACTGTCCAAGTAATTTGTTCTGCCCAACATTTCAGGCAAAACGAAGCGTTGGATAATCTGCAAGGCGACGTGGACGAGCTCAACTCCAGGGTGAAGGGAGCCAACCAACGTGCGCGCAAGCTGGTCGCCAAGTAGGCCGCCTCAGACGTGGGAAGTGGGAAGGGGGCCGGGGAGCTTGCGTTTCTTGGGTTTGCATGGTTTGCATCACGAAACGCCCTCGCGGCCGGCACGGGTTTTAATTGCTTGTAACGTGTATATTGCTCTCCATTACATAGAGAGCTTCTTTTTGTTCAACACAGAAAATGTTCTTTTTCCTTGTTGACCAAAGTTGTACGTATGTATAATGTCAAAGGGAAGCTGCATGCTAATCGTCACTAGCATAACAAGAGATTAAACCACCGCTCCACTTAGCCACAAAATGATTCAAATGACTCCTAAGAACAACTTTGATTATTAATTTTATTATAATATATTTATAAAATATAGCAAGAATATTCTATTATGAAGCTACGTTATTTAGAGACAAATGGACTCACATGATTTTTAAATATCCAAAGTCAACACGAATATAATAATTTCTATTTTCTAACAAAACTGAAATGGCACCATGTGCACCTAAATCAAGTGTCCTGCAATTCGAGTTTTAAAATTAAAACAAGATAATTGTCACACGTGCAAAAGATGATAGCGATGTATTCTTCACCAAATACAAAGAATTTTAATTTTAATTTACATGCATCACATAAAGCCAAAGCATCAAAAATCCTTCCATGCAAAAGTGTTTTATTACACAAATAGAATGCCTACTTATTGTTGTTATAGAAAAAGGAAACAAACTCATACTCCATCTCTAGAATATCTATCATGGTGAACAAGATGACTATCGGGACACTAGTAACAAATCCCAAACAAAATGGGCGTGGCTAGCGCCGCGACGTCCGGACGGACGCGCGCGTCCGGATGCCCGCGCAGCCCGCCACCGTCCGCCATCGCTCCGACCCCGTCCGCCTTTGCCCCGCCCCCACGCGTGCACTTCGCCCCGTCTCTACGCTCGCCAATCGCCCCTGACCCCTCCTCTCTCTCTCTGTGCGAGCAACACTCAGGAGCCGGGATCAGTAGCTGAGGACGAGCACACCCCTAGCTCGCCCCGACCGCAGCACCATCATCCACCGGCCCCAATGGCCCGTTCGCCGGCCCCTGGCGCGCCGCGCACCCGATCCTCTCGCCCCCGGCCGTACAACATAAAACACTTGCAACGTGAAAAATATTTGAATGCAACATACGTCTGAAAGTGATGGTGAAACATTTAGAACACACTTGCAACATGTGTGTGAAACACACGAAACATCTAGATTTGCAACTTGCAACATGAAACCACTTGCTACAACATAAGACTGAAATAGATGAAATATTTGGAATATACTGTTGCAACATATGTGTGCAACATATGCAATATCCAGATAAAAAAAAGATTGCAACAAACATCTAGAAACAGATGACACATTTTGATCAAACGCTTGTGTCGGGGACCAATATTAGGGTACCCGAAAAGGAGAAGCTAATGACCATCAACATTGATTCATCCGCACGATCGAGAGCACGACATACCGCTTGCCGGGTCACTCCTCATCCGTCTACAGAGACCATGGGCCCCGCATAAAGCTGACTCCCGAGGGCTGGCTCCGCCTCGCCCGACGTCTGAGGGCAGACCCCGTCTCACCCAACCCCCGAGGGCAGACTCCGTCTCGCCCGATCCCCGAGAGCAGCCTCGCCCGACGTCCGGGGTCTGGCTCCGCCTCGCCCGACGTCCGGGGGCTGGCTCCACCTCGCCCGATGTTTGAGGGTAGACTCCGTCTCGCCCGATGTCCGAGGGTTGGCTCCGCCTCGCCCGACCCCCGAGGGCTGGCTCCACCTCGCCCGACCCCCGAGGGCTGGCTTCGCCTCACCCGACGTCTGCGCGCTGCTTCTTCATAACTATGCGCGCAGGTAAGGCAGGGCACTCAAGTCAACCACAATACCGAGGACCATACCCTGCACGCCTGCAGGAAAGTACCGTCAGGATATGACAAGACGGGCGCTTTAAGCCCTTCCAGGCATGTCAGAGCCCGAACAGTATTGTAGACGCCGACATTTGTCTTATAGTGTTGTGGGCGCCGCCATTTGCCCTCGGGCGTGGATCCTGACGGAAGCATGCGACAACCACTACGATCCAGGAGGAAACTCACATCATCTATAGTAACAGAAGTGCGGTCACTGCGTCGTCTGCTCTCCGTAGGGTCGCGGATCAGCACACTAGTCCGTTGCGCCACCCGCCGGGGCAGGATAGGACGTGACCACTTGCTAATCAAGCCATAACATGGCATCGTCAGCGGACAGACGCACAGCGCGACCCTATCAGGATCAGCGGACATGCACCTAGCATAGAGCTATCCCTGGCACCGTCTGCCGTGTCAGCGGGCTCGATCAGAGGAAAAGGAAGACCCGGCATCTTTGAAGGATCTCCTTTGCCTCTGGTTTTTCTTCTTTCTCTCATCTGTAATCCCTGCTTCTCCTTGGTCTATAAAAGGGAAGATAGGACACCCTACTAAGGGGACGGATCAATTCAAGACACCACGCATCACATCACACATAGCTTAGCAACAATCAAGCTCTCAGTCCCATTCGACCTTTCCATCAGAAACTTGGGATCTGTCCCTCTCTCGCTCGTTTGTAACCCCTACTACTACTTTTTCAGTGCAAATAACACGAGCAGGAGCCACGAACTGGACGTAGGGACATTTTGCCTGAACCAGTATAAACCTTATGTCTTTTTAGCACACCATCCGGACCAGACGCGCAATAACACAAATTTACTCGTTGGTGTTTACTCGAAACACCGACAGCTTGCAACATGCCTCTGAAACACTTGCAACATATGCAACTTGTACAACATGAGGCGCCACAACACGTGTGCCCCAGCGGCCATGGTGGGGTCAGCGGCGCGCCCCACGGCGATGGACGAATGGCGAGGGAGCGAGCGATGCAGGTGACTGCCATGCAGGTGAGCGGCACAGGGAGCGAGGGTCCGCGGCATGGCCGGCGATGGGGGGAAGGGCACGGCACGGCAGCCCAACGAGCGCGCATTGGGGAAGGGGCAGGCTGATGAGCAGCCACATCGAGCGATGCAAGTGGCTGCCACGCAGGTGAGCTGCGTAGGGAGCGAGGGGCGCGCGGCGTGGCCGGCGACAGGGGAAAGGAAATGGCACGGCAGCCTGACGAGCGCACGCTGGAGAAGGGGGTGAACGGATGAGCAACCACGCTGGAGAAGGACGCTATGCAGGAAGTATTTCCGAAGTATAATAATAAGATGGTACTGCATTGCCATACTTTGAATACAAGGTCAATGCTAGATTGCAAGTAGCACATATGGTATGAATAAAAATAATTATGCTGCTAAAACATATAGTGAACATGTACATAACAAGCATCAAGATAGGATTCATGACAGCGAGGGTTTAGCGTATTTTTATATGCATTTCTCTCTATAAATTGCAAGCACATCCATATTAGGCCTTGTTTGAAAGCGCATGTATTCATCTCAATCCACATGTGGATTGAAGTGGATTGGAGTGAAACCTAGCCCAAGTTGATGTGGTTCATCTGTGTGTGTGCGGCATGCACACTCTGCAACGCAAAAACACATAACTAAATTACAATCCAATCCACTCCAACATATGGATTGAAGTGGATACGCATGCATCAAACACGGCCTTAGAGTCTTTTTATGTTTCTTGAGACCCATGCCTCAGGTCTCCATGACAGCGAGGATTTAGCTGCAAGGGGACAAAGTCATCATGTCAACAAAACGTGCATCAGTGCATGTTAAATCCTGAGCAAGCAGTGTAGTGCGAGATTTTGATCCGCTACACAGAATTAAGTTGTGGAATTTTCCGTTTCAGTTAAGATGTGAGGCATGCATCGTTGGCATCACGTCATGCTCATAATGAAATCAGACTTTTCATTGATTAAATATGTCAAAACAGTCTAAAGAAACAGCTAACTGAGTGTTCTTCCGCGGTTCCGCCCGAGTTCGAGTCCCGGACATGGGATTAATCATCCTATCTTGTTTAGACATGTGCACCATCCAAGGAAACAGGTACCCTGCACTCACTGATCTACGAGTAATAATCAACACGGAGATTCGTGGATCAATAACGGCAAGATGAAAATGCAGTTCTATCAGTTTCCAAAGCCGTGCCAGCTCATCAAAGCCACTAAAAACTTAGTTTTTTAAAATAACATTTAACCCGAGTAGAAGAAACTACTTAGCTCTAGTTTCTCTTTTCTTGAATTTCTGTTGTCGGTTTTTCTACAGTTTTCTTATTCAGGACTTCAGAACATGTGAGAGGTTTCGTACTCCCTAGCACACTAGGCACCATTGCACCACCTCCAGTTGTGACATTGTCTTCTGCTTCAACATAGGCCGAGCTGCAAATTTCTTGCAAATAAATAAATCAACGTAAATAAAGAATGATCTTTTTTTCAAATTTTAACTTTCTTCAGAAAACCCTTATCAAGCAAAACATGCCGAAAAGTTTTAGCTGGCAACAACCAATGCCATGTTTCAAATGGACGTATTAGGGTCGACTTCTCCGGTAGGGTTTGTTCGATTAGCTCTAATCCTGAGGGCCTGTTTGAATTGCGGAAAAAAATTCCTGTTCCTGCGTTTTTTCTGTGAAATTGAACTGATTCCTGTGAAATTCCTGCGAGATTCCTGTAAAATTCCTACGTTCCAAACAGGCCCTCAGGGGAATTTCATCCTCTACACATCAAAATCCCTCTCAATCTTATCGGATTGAAGTTTCACTTAACATGCCGTTACAAATTCCTAAATACTCTTTGAGAGAACATGCTCAGGCAAGAAGTAGGGTACATAAGACAAACAATGATGGTGTTGTTTAACACAACTTATTCCTCAATCCTTTGACATACTAAGTAAAGTTGTGTCAAGTAGTAGGATTTCATCAATAAGCTTTTATAAGCTTTTCAAGAAAAAATATATACACAATAACAAGTTGTGTCAAATAGGTTAATATTTTTTTTCTTCCCTATACGAATCACAGTTTAAATGTAGACGTTCACCGCATAAGCGCACA